CGGAGGCGAACCCCGTTTTACTTCCACCGCGTTCCGACGCCCTTTCGCTGCCTTCCGCCGAGGAAGAGATGCCAACTCCTTCGATCTTCAGAAGGTGAGACCATGAATTGTTTTTATGTTGTTGTTTCTTGTTGCTTCTCGTGGTCGTCCTCAGCTCCTTCCTCCACGGAAAATTCGCCTGGCGAAAGACCCAACCATATGCAGTTGTGAGAGCCGCAGTTATGAGGATCGTCTTCGGAAGAACTCCCTACGGGGCCACAAAACGTGTGACGGGCGTGCCAATTTGGGGAGGGGGGGCGCATGTGAACCCTCCCACAGGGACCTTCGGTTGAGCTCCCTACAGGGCCGCGAAGCGTGTACGGAGTGTGCCGAAACGGGCGTCACGCCCAAATGCGAACTGCAGCACTGGGACCTTCCGTGGAGCGCCCTACGGGGCCACGAAACGTGTCAGGGTGTGCCGAAACGGGCGTCACGCCCACATGCGAACTGCAGTACTGGGACTTTTCGGTGGAACTCCCTACGGGACCACGAAACGTGTGAGGGGTGTGCCGAACGAGCGTCACGCCCGCATGCGAACTGCAGCACTGGGACTTTCGATGGAGCTCCCTACGGGGCCACGAAACGTGTGAGGGGTGTGCCGAAATAGGCGTCACGCCCACATGCGAACTGCACCACTGGGACCTTCGGTGGCACTCCCTCTGCGAGAACACGAAACGTGGCAGGGAGGGGCCGAAACGGGCGTCACGCCCACATGCGAACTGCACCACTGGAACCTTCGGTGGCACTCCCCCTACGAGGCCACGGAACGATTGAGGGGTGTGCCGAAACGGGCGTCACGCCCACATGCGAACTGCACCACTGGGACCTCCGGTGGAGATATCTATAGGACCAAGAAACGTGTGAGGGGTGTGCCGAACGGGCGTCACGCCCACATGCGAACTGCGCCAGCGGGACCTTCAGTGGAGCTCCCTACGGGGCCACGAAACGTGTGAGGGGTGTGCCGAAACTGGCTTGACGCCCACATACGAACTGCACCACTGGGACCTTCACTGGAGCTCCCTATGGAGCCACGAAACGTGTGAGGAGTGTGCCGAAACAGAGCGAAGCAGGGATGAGAGCAGGGGGCAGGGAGGAGGAGGGAATGAACGCGAGGCGGTCTCTTCAAAAATAGGAACACCAAAGGTTAGTTGGGAAAAAAACAGAAGAAGGCGAGAACCCTTTCAGGAGCGCGCCAGATAATCGTGGCAGGTGGTTGCAGCGGCTCCCTGACGAGACTCCCTGGCGGCGGGAAGATTCCTAGGCTTGCGGCGGCCCCTGGGGGGTGCTGGGCACATGATAGACAAGCCTCGGCTATCTCTGGGACGAGCTGAAGGCTGCATCAGACATTACATAATGCCGACAGGACGGCCTCATAGCAAAATGCTGAGATGCCCCTGAGAAGTTCCTGAGAGGGTCTTGGTAGACTTCTCAAAGTGTCGCGAAACGGTGTTGGGAGGGTCCTGAGAGGGTCCTGGGAGGGCCATGAGAGGCTCCTGAGAGGCCCCATCAAGGGATCTTGAGAGGCTCTTAACAAGCTCGCAAGAAGAAGCTGCTGAGAGGACTCCTGGGAGAATCCTGCCAGCATCCTGAGATGCGTCTGAGGGGCTCCTAGGACGGTCGGGCAGAGTCCTGAGAAGGCGTCCGAGATGCTGCTGAGAGCCTCCAGAGGGTCCTGGAAGGCTCCTGAGGGGCTGATGAGATGCTCATGAGTGGCGCCTAAGAGATTCCTGAGAGGGTCTTGAGGGTGTCCTCACAGGACCCTGATAGGGCCCAGGAGAATCCCGAGAGGTGGAACCTGGTAAAAGCACGAACCACGACCTTCCAATGCGGATGAACATGATTGATTAGACATCGCAAAGTGAGGAGAGGATGCAAGCAAGGTAACCCATGTCTAAGTGGGCCCCAGAAAAGCAGGGCCGCTGCTTTGCCGTTTTCGAAAAACGTCTGTAAAGCATGGAAACTGTGTTGCAAAACTACTCTCTGCAAACTTTTTCTATATTACTTGTTTACAACAACAACAACAACAACAACAACAATCATTTTACCCGAACGCTCAGTGTTCTCACCAGTGCCAGGGTTTTCATACGACGCCCGCCAATACCCCCACTTTGTGGGGGGGCCGGTTCAAGCTCTACCACATTTCCAAACGACTCTTCGCCACCACCCACACCCAGCTTCCCGCCCTATGACGTTCGGACACTTCACTTCGTGGCATGCGGACGACCGTGGCTACTACACTGGCGCATGGTTTCAATGACTTCTTGTGGTAACATCTTGTGGAAACTAGCTTAGTATACGACGACGACGATTTGAAGGGCCTACGGTGCGAAAAATGATTTTATGTTGCGCGGTGCTAAAATTCCTACGAAACCCAATGGTTTTTGAAGATTTCGGCGTGCGCACGGAAAGAAAAAACGAATGTGTCCCGCATGGTATTATTTGACAGGGATGATGGCCCTGGCAGGTGCGCAACCGTTGTTGGAGAAGTTCGAAGCACGTGAAGAAGTTGATCGCAAAAGCCCGTTTGACAGAAATGTTTAAAAAAGTTGGGTTTCCTGCAAATCCGCAAGAGCGCGCGGGATGAAATTGTGACACTTTTTTTTTTAAACCATTGGTTTTTTGATGTTTTTATGTTGAAATCGTTACGAACACTAAGGTTTTGGAAGGATTTCGTCTTGCGCGCGCGAATGTCCACTTTACCTTATTTTTTGCAAGGGATTCTTGAAGTTTGGTTATTTTAGAACAAGAAATTTCATTTTATAGTGTTTTTTGCAAGGGACAGCGGGGGGGAACAAAACAACCGGATCTTGATGACATCGTATTACCTGAGGCTTCCTCACGAAAATGATGAAAATGTAGCTGCGGCCTAGGCGCGGCGAGGGGGTCGCGCACCAGGGGCCCAACAATAATTATTCTTTAGAATAAATAATGTTCAACAACAACAACAACAACAACAACAACAACAACAACAACAACAACAACAACAACAACAACAACAACAACAACAACAATTACAACAACAACAACAACAACAACAACAACAACAACAACAACAAAACAAAACAAACAAAAAACACGATTGGGACTCAAATCAGAACCAAAACGGCGACAAAACCGAGAAAAACTGAAAAACGGAACCGTCCAAAAAGAAATTGGAGGGGCCACTGCAGGACGATGACAGGCTCGGTGTCGCAATCGTGAAACGACTAAGCTCCCTAGCGACCTCGAGCGCCGTGCACGCGAGTGGTATCAGAACTGTTTTCCAAAAAAAATGCAGAACGGAAACCGAGAAAAAAAATGGCCCTGCCGTTGCCGGGACCCACCAGGGCCCATGGTGGTTCCAGTGCTGTCCGTTTCCCGTGGGTGGCCATGTCGGGGCCGTCAGAGGAGGTCCGGGCAGGAGAGACAGCAGAGCGAGCGAGAGAGGTCGGAGGTCAGGGAATGGAGGACGGCAGAAGCAGGAGCGAGGAGGAGGAGGTGGCAGCAAGAGGGCAGGAGGACAAGAGCACGGGGGGGGTGTCAAGGGAGCAACGACGATGGCGAGGAAGATGCTGACCATGGCGGCGACGGAGGTGGTGGCGGCGATGACGGCGACAACGACGACGACGACGACGACGGATGTCAACGGACAATGAAGACGACGAGGAGGATGCCCAGGGGATCCGAACGGCGGCCGGAGACCGTCTGGGGGACTTCTTGGGCTAATCTTGGCGCCACTGAACAACACTGGCCTGGGGGCTGGCACGGCCGCCGGTGAGGCACTCCACTCGACGATAAGAGAACACGATCCGGCACTGCGGCGGCGCCGCGCACGCAGCCGCTGGGACCCCCTCCGGGAGAGACCGTGGCTCCTTCCTTGGCTTGGGTCGGGCATGTCCTTCTAGAGGCGGATTTCTGGAAGAAAAATAAGAAATAGTCAAAACAACCGGTCAAAATAGTCCAACGAGCAAGAAAAGTCGCCGCCTGACGATTGTTTTACCATTCTTGTGTTTTCCTCCTGTGGAGGCGCGTGCCCGACGTAATCCTCGGCACCGTCAGAAATCCAGGAGAGACGACGTGAGACTGCGCCGGCCGCCGCCCAGAGAGCCTGCTGCTGCCCGCACGTGGCACTCCCGCTGCGGCCCCTGGCCGTTGCCGGTGGAACGGCACGGGGCACGCGCACGCATCGGGGTCTGGCCATCGCTCGGACGTCCATTCCCCGTGCTTTTTTTTTCGGTTTCGCGCGCGGCTTCTTCGCCAAATGGTCAAGGATGCTCCTCGATGGTCCTCGCCGAAGGAAAAATGGACACGTCCGAGCGATGCCTGGGGGTATGCCTGGAGCGACCTTCGCGCCATCGACCCCTCTGCGTCGGCAGGCCTCGTGAGCACGAGGCACGAGGCACGAGGCCTCGTGAGCACGAGGCCTCCACTGGCCGCCGCGCCCTCCCCTCCCCGCCCAGCTCCCCCGCCCCTCGACACGTTTCGAGCCCAAGACGGGGTGTCGCTCCAGCGCCCCGTGCTCACCGAGCAAGGGCGCTCCAGCAGCCCATGCCGACAGCACGGAGGCGCTCCAGCGGTGCATGTTTACCAAAAGAGCGTCCACCAGCAACAAGTGGGAATGCGTTCCAGCAGGGCCTTTCTACCGAGCGAAAGCGCTGCAGCATCGCCATCGCCGTCGCCACCGCCATCGTCGTCGTCGTCGTCGGCGGCGGCGCCGGCGGCGTCGTCGTCGGCGCCTTCGCCAGCTCCGTCGTCGTCGCCGGCGTCACCGACGTCGCCGACGTCGCCGAGGTCTGGCAATAAGTTCTCAGGCCCAATATATTCCACTGACGGGCCAATCAGTGGACCATTGACGTTAGTGGGAAGATGTAAGGCGCATGACTCTACATCGGGGTATCTCTGGAGCGGTCTTCGCGCTTTGATCCTCGCGGCGTCCGTAGCCCTTTCCAGAAGTGTCCGCTCCCACGCCCCCGCCACTCCGCTCCCGAAATGGTCTAGGGTCATGAAGCGGCCCACGGCGCATGTGTAGGTCACGATGATGCACCTCCGCACCAGGAGCATCGATTATGCGTGGCGGGGGCAACTCCCTTCTCGTCCTCCTCGACTTCCTCCTCCTCCTCCTCCTCATCCTCCTCGATGTCCTACTCCTCCTCATTCCTCCTCTCCTCCTGGGTGAGCACCCGCACTGCTCGCCGCCGCACCCGCCTCGACCTCGCGCCGCCCCCCTCCAGGGTTCCCGCTGCCCGCGGTCGCTGTCGTCGCACGTCTTTCGTCTCGGCGCCGCCGTCGCCACGGCGCTGGTCGGAAGTCGACGAGCCACTCGAGAACGAACGAACGAACCACCACTGCGGACAGCCGCCCAAGCCTACTTGGTGCCTAAGACCTAGAGGGCAAGGGCGGGTCGTAGGTAGGCCCGGACGGGAGCCGCCGGCGACCAGCGACTCGGGAAAAGCGGGCCACCAGTCAAGCAAACTGGGGAACGAGCCACTCGGGAACCGCTGGCAACCAGCCGTGCCGACCACGGAGCAGCAGGCCGCATCACCGCCGTGGCGGCGGGAGAGCGCTCGGTGGGCAGCTGGCGGGCAAGGACGGATGGATAACAAATCGTATGCGAATGCAACCTAGTAAAGAGCATCGGCGAGGTGTGCGAGAGAGGGGAAAGAGAGGGAGAGAAAGAGAGAGAGAGAGAGAAAGAGAGAAAAACAAAAAAAACAAAAAAAAAAAAAAAAAAAAAAAAAGAGAGAGAGAGAGAGAGAACAAAAGAAAATAAGGAAACACAGACACACAGACAGACCGACAGACAAACAGACAGGCAGGCAGGCAGGCAGGCAGGCAGGCAGGCAGACAGACAGGCAGACAGACAGGCAGGCAGGCAGGCAGGCATGCAGGCAGTCAGGCAGGCAGGCAGGCATGCAGGCAGTCAGGCAGGCAGGCAGGCAGGCACACAGACACGCAGAGCCAGTAGAGGCGTCAAGAGCGCCCACGTACACCTCTGGCCTAGCTCCAGCAGGGGACAACGATGAATCGACGTCAAGCGACGGTCCTGAGTTTGCCCTGGCCATCCGGCGTTCTCGCAGCACCATTT